TAAATCATGTTTTGCTTGTAAGGAGACAAAAGGACAGAACCCAAGACGCAAAGTGTTTGTGTCACACAGTAATGGAGCAGAACATCAAATTAAAGATTTTATTACATGTAGAACGGAGGGTGTAGTATATGGTCTTCAATGTAAGTGCGGTCTCCAATACATTGGGAGAACCAAGCGACCAATGTGGAAGAGGATCCGCGAACATGTACAGAACATAAAAAAGGGTAACCCCAAACATAATGTTTCTAAACATTTCTCCCTTTATCATAATAAAGATCCGTCCTCACTATTATTTTGGGGAATAGAAAAATATAATGGTCATTGGAGGGTTCGCATAAAGTGAGATCGTTAAGTCAGGCCGAGTCGAAGTGGATCTATATTATGCAGACACAGGTGCCCAGAGGTTTGAATGTAGAGTTCGACCTCAATTGTTTTATAAGTGATTTTTAATTTTAACCATTTCTAGTTAGGAGGTAGTCCACCTGATATGATATCGCTTTGGTGTTTTATTTTTTATGCAAATTTATTCTTTTGTGTGTAATGCACTTCATATGTTTCCTACATGTGCGTGTATGGTTATTTGCACATGCAGGTTTTTTAATTTAGGTTTTAAATAAGTTTTTAACCTAGTCATTTATCCAAGTTTCTAACTGAGTAGTTAATGCATTGTTCTATGGTAGTTATTGTTTAGTACTTTATTAAAGTTGATTTGAGGTGCTCAGCCATTCTACTTATCCTACTAAGGTGCAAAATGGGTGTTATTATGTATGGGGTATACACAGGAGTTTGTTTTCTCTGTATACCCGTTTACCTGGTCCACAATATGGCTGCTAGATTATGTTGCGGATGTATTTTTAGTACCTATTATCTGGACTCCGGGAAAATGGCCGCGGTGGGTGGGCTAGTCGGTTGATTGACACCCCAGCGGCCCATAAAAAGTCGTGTTCTTACTATGGGCGGTCACCCTGATGAAGTCACGTGGTATTCGTGACGCAACGCGTTGGTACGCCCCTGACGACACTTCCGGTACGCGGTGACGTCACTTCCGACGCACGCGCCATATTGGGACTCCGGGTACACCCATAGCACGAGGATACAGGAGGAGCATTCTAAGGCTATATTTTTAATGTAGACATGTGAGTGGACATTTTAATTGCTTACAATCTTATTAATAAAAATATTACGGTATCACGCTATGGCAAGTCTCTCTCTTTTTATATCTCTGAGCATCATCTGGTGGTCTAATACCACCACTATAAAGCAGCTGGATTTGGCATTTGGGAGCACAGCGTTTGAGATAGCATCCAGTGTGGACCTTACCGGCTGGCACTCGAGGATTACACCTATAAGGTGCAAAGGCGTATTGGCCCTTGTGGTCAGTGCGGGGAGGTGAGGAGGCATTCTTACCATTTCTGGATTGTGACACCAGTGGCACCAGTGGCACTTTCACGCTTGGTCAAGGATTGCAGTCTTTGTGTATAGTGGACTGTAATCTATGCACTTCTGTCACCTGTAGGAATCCTTTTGCATGGTGTTTTTTGTGTCACCATCACTAGTATTTATCCACGTGCCCCAGTTAGGGGTTATGTTTTTATGCATGATTATTTGTTTATGTATATTTTATGAATGTGGTATTAGTGGTATTTATCTTAGCGCCCACACCAATTTTTCTTGTTTTATATATGTACTTTTTGGTTTAAAGGAGGGTGTTGGCAGCTTAGTGTAGCTTTTTCTTCATCTAAAAGCGCAGGAGGTATTAATACATTTTATCCAATTAACCTACCATCATATCTTTGGAGTGTGGGAGGAAACCGGAGTACCCGGAGGAACCCACACAATTTTACTTCCTAATTCAATCCCAGTCTGAATCACTGTATCTTGTTCTTGCCTGTGTAACACGTATGTGCGGAACCAGAAGAGTGGGCTTTAAAGCACACACATTGCACAAACGTATGTGTCATTGGGTGGCAAGTGTTTCTCTGCTGAGAGCATGCTCACTGCATGATTCTAGCACAGACACTGAGCTTTCTAAAACAGCTCTGGGTCCCCACTAATGATCGGTAGCCGGCAGGACTTGCTCCTGGTCATGTGACCGCTGACGTCCAATCACTCCCACCCAGAAGGATCACATGTTTTTGCTTGTCTGTCTACTGTTAACCAGCATTTATGCTGCATTTTGACACTTTGATGCACCAGACACAAACAGACTGAAGCTAGATCTGATGATTTTGAGGCCCCAGATGATTTGTAGAGAAGATGTTCTGGCCTTTAAAACTGAAATCCTTCTTTTTAGCCCAGCTGATAGATCAGAGAGTTTTAGAATCCTCACAGTGCTCTTTATTCTGTCCAGGAAGATGACATGATTGTTGTTAAGGTAGAAGATCTAAATGATGACGAGGCCTATGGGAGGTGTGATGATAAGGAAGAGGAAGTCTCAACTTACATCACCACTGGTGAGTAGGAAGCATGAATATAAGTGTCAATATGTACAGACCCCACCCACCCTTGTGTCAGTGTGTACAGACCCCACCCACCCTTGTGTCAGTGTGTACAGACCCCTCCCACCCTTTTGTCAGTGTGTACAGACCCCTCCCACTTTTGTCAGTGTGTACAGACCCCTCCCACCCTTTTGTCAGTGTGTACAGACCCCTCCCACCCTTGTGTCAGTGTGTACAGACCCCTCCCACTTTTGTCAGTGTGTACAGACCCCTCCCACCCTTTTGTCGGTGTGTACAGACCCCACCTACCCTAGTGTCAGTGTGTACAGATTTCAGCCACTCCCTGTGTCCGTGTACACAGACCCCACCTACCCTAGTGTCAGTGTGTACAGATCTCAGCCACTCCCTGTGCCAGTGTATACAGACCCTACCTACCCTAGTGTCAGTGTGTACAGATTTCAGCCACTCCCTGTGTCAGTGTGTACAGACCTCAGCCACTCCCTGTGTCAGTGTATACAGACCTCACCTACCCTAGTGTCAGTGTGTACAGATCTCAGCCACTCCCTGTGTCAGTGTGTACAGATCTCAGCCACTCCCTGTGTCAGTGTATACAGACCTCACCTACCCTAGTGTCAGTGTGTACAGATCTCAGCCACTCCCTGTGCCAGTGTATACAGACCCCACCTACCCTAGTGTCAGTGTGTACAGATCTCAGCCACTCCCTGTGTCAGTGTGTACAGATCTCAGCCACTCCCTGTGTCAGTGTATACAGACCTCACCTACCCTAGTGTCAGTGTGTACAGATCTCAGCCACTCCCTGTGCCAGTGTATACAGACCCCACCTACCCTAGTGTCAGTGTGTACAGATTTCAGCCACTCCCTGTGTCAGTGTGTACAGACCTCAGCCACTCCCTGTGTCAGTGTATACAGACCTCACCTACCCTAGTGTCAGTGTGTACAGACCTCAGCCGCTCCCTGTGTCAGTGTATACAGATCCCACCTACCCTAGTGTCAGTGTGTACAGACCTCAGCCACTCCCTGTGTCAGTGTGTACAGACCCCACTTACCCTAGTGTAAGTGTGTACAGACCCCACTTACCCTAGTGTCAGTGTGTACAGACCCCACTTACCCTAGTGTCAGTGTGTACAGACCTCAGCCATTCCCTGTGTCATTGTGTACAAACCTCACCTACCCTTGTTTTAATGTGTACAGACCTCAGCCACTCCCTGTGCCAGTGTATACAGACCCCTCCAGCCCTTGTGTCAGTGTGTGCAGACCTCAGCCACTCCCTGTGTCAGTGTGTACAGAGCTCACCTACCCTAGTGTCAGTGTGTGTATAGACCTCAGCTATGCCCTCTGTCCGTGTGTACAGACCTCAGCCACTCCCTGTGTCCGTGTGTACAGACCTCACCTACCCTTGTTTTAATGTGTACAGACCTCACCTACCCTTGTTTTAATATGTACAGACTCAAATCATCCTCAGTGTCAGTGTATACAGACCTCAACCACTGTGTGTCAGTGTGTGTAGACCCTACCCAACCTCTATGTCCATGTGTACAGACCAAAATCAAAATAAGTATCCCAAAAATAACCATTTAGGTGTTAGGTATTTGGTTATTCATGTGTACAGACCCCCACCCACCTTCTGTGTCCATGTGTACAGACCCCACCAACTATGTCAGTGTACAATGCCCTCCCACCCTCTCTGTGTGTACAGTGCCCACCCATCCTCTGTGTCATGTGCAGACCTCACCCACCCTCAGTATCATTGTATGCAACCCACCCCTGGTTGTTTCTGGCTTTTTCAAGTCACTGATCCAGAACAAGCATGGAGCATGTTCAAATCAAAGCTCTTTATAGCTATATCTCTGTTGGACAAGTCACTCAGAAAGCAATGAAGACAATGCCATCGGCCTTTCAGCCAGGCAAATTGCATTTCCACAAGGAGTTTCAGAGATGGCAGCCTCCATTTTCAGGTTCCTGATATATAAATGTGCTAAAGGGGTTGTGTGAATTTACCTGGTTTTATCATTCTTCTTACTGTGCCGTCTTTCCTTCCCTCCAGATGGAAGATACAGCGGAATCAAAAGTCCAGAAGTTGAGATCATAAGTCCTCCTGGACTTCATTGTGGAGTTCTGTCTTCAGGTCCTCTTACATTCGCGAGTTCCTTGTATAAAACTTTGCCATATAAAGGTCTCAGCCAGGCCAGAGATCCCTTTTCACGTCAAAGGATGCCCGTTGGTGAACTCTCACATTCCTGGCTCGAAGGTGAGGAATCCTTTTCCCAAAAGTCACTTCAAGATCAAAGCTTGGAAGCTGAAGTGAAGCCATATTCATGTTCTGTATGTGGAAAGTCTTTTAGGGTTAAGTCTGTCCTTATCCGACATGAAAAGGTCCACACTGGGGAAAAGCCTTATGAGTGTTCCCAGTGCGGCAAGTGTTTCGCGCAGAAGTCTGATCTTGCTGAGCACGAACGGATCCACACGGGAGAAAAGCCATATCCTTGTCCTGAATGTGGCAAGTGCTTCGCGAAGAAGACAAACCTTGCCAGGCACTTGAGGATGCACTCAGGGGTGAAGCCCTATGCATGCTCCATTTGCGGAAAGGCTTTCACGCAGAAGGCCGCTCTTGATGAACACATACGGATTCACACTGGGGAGAAGCCATACGCCTGCTCTCACTGCACCAAGTGCTTCGCCCAAAAGTCGGCCTTTGCCGAACACCAAAGAGTTCACACGGGAGAGAGACCTTACGCTTGTGCTGAATGCGGGAAATGCTTCACGCAGGGCTCTGCCCTAGCCAAACATCAGAGGATCCACCGAAACCAGAAACCACGGCCGTGTCCTCGGTGTGGAAAGATGTTTCCATCAGAGTTCCTTCTTGCCCTGCATGATAGAGTCCACCAAGCAAATTTCCAGTGATTGGTAGAGAGGGGCGCTGCACAATTCTGCCTCAAAGTTGAACTGACGGACTCCAATCTCAAGTAGCCAGGAGCAGTATTGCATGTAAATAATAAAACACTACACTTAAACAAGACAACCTTTTTTTGGTTTTATGTGCAGCCTTGTTGTCACGAGAACTAGTGTCCCCATTAGAAGATTTCTGCTCTATTCCTGTTCTGGTGACATCCCAAAATTTGGGGTTTTCTGTCACTTTCTTTCTCAGTGATGACAGCAAACTGGACAAATGGAGGGTGAATCTTCCTAATGGGGACACAGCAAAATAAAACAGTTGTTCTAATTCAATCCACTCTATCCAAAACTAAACCTATGCCTTTAGCTATACTTCAAACTTTAAAAGTGGTTGTAGACTGTAGATATGAAATATGAACAAAACATATCCCTCTATAGCAGCCTTTCTCAACCAGAGTACCCAGGCACCCTAGGGTGCCTTGAGGTTTCTTCAGGGGTGCCTTGGCAAAATTTCTAAAAATTGCCCAAAACCTATATACAAGCCAGAGGGTGGAACAAGCTTGCCTTTTAGTTACAGAAAGCCACAGGATTTCAACACTACAACCTTCTAGCTGCCGGCATCCTGACAACCAATGACATCAGTTGATAAGGAGGATGTCAGCTGCCTGAACAGCATCCTAGTTTGGCCCTCCCCCCCCGCCCCCTCTCCATCAGGACTGCGATCACATTAGCTTAGCGATGGATAAAAACTGAGGGAGAAACACTGGAATACTAGTTTTAGAATGGGGTGCCTCGGGACTGTCTATCATTTAAAGGGTGTCTCGGGACTGTCCATCATTTTAACCATTTGACGCACAGCCTATGGCTGAATGGCGTCTGTAAAAATGTATTAGCTTTCCGGGAGGCCATCATATGGCATCCTCCCGCACATGCACAGTTTGCGCGCTTGCAGAGCCACGCAGCGGCGCGATCTGTCACTGGCCGTGTACCTCGGACACGGCCGATGACAGATCTGAGTACCGGCCCCCGTTGCCGGTACCATGTGACCTGCTGTGATCAATCACAGCAGGTCACATGACAGTTGTATACAATGGATGGCTTCATTCATGCCATCCATTGTATACTAATGTCTAGCTGTGAATGGTCACAGCTAATCACATGCACATGTCATGTGATTAGCTGTGGCCAAGTCACAGCTAAGCACAAAAAAAAAAAAAAAAAAAAAACCCCTGAATAAATTGATGTCATTCAGGTAAATGCTTGCTTATAGCAAAGTAATTCTTTGCTGTAAGCAAATTGTGTAAAAAAAAAAAAAAAAATACTGATCACTTCCCCAAAGTAGTACCATGTTACTATGGTAACATGGTACTACTTTGGACATAGTGAAATATGAAAAAAAAATTTAAAAAAAAGAAAAAAAATTTAATAAAAAATGTAAAATAAAAAAAAAATATATATATATATATTTTTTTTTTTTTCACACGGTCAGCAGTCAGTGTCCCTGATCACCGCCATGCTAGTTATATGATGACGCTGTCTTGCACTGGTGACAGTATGTAAAAAAAAAAAAAAAAGAAAATATTTTTTTATTTTTTCATTTTCCGAAAAATTATGACAAAAAAAAATACAACTTCAAAAAACTCGCCATGCCTCTTATGAAGTACGTCGGACTGTCTACTTTGCAAAAAGTGGTCATTTGGGGGATATCTGTACTGTTCTGACATTCTTGGACCTCAGGAAATTAGATTGGCTGTCAGTACTTCAGGATTGATCAATATTCAGATCTATACCATAGTTTTGTGAACTCTATAACCTTCCTACAAACTAAATAATACATCCTAATTTGGGTTATTTTCACCAAAGACATGTAGTAGAATACATCTCGGCCTAAATTTATGAAGAACAATTATTTATTTGCAAACTTTTAAAACAGAAACAAAGAAAAAAACGTGTTTTTTTTTCCAAAGTTTTCGGTCTTTTTTGTTAATTTAGCAAAAAATAAAAACCCCAGCGATGATTAAATACCACCAAAAGAAAGCTCTAGTTGTGTGAAGAAAATTATAAAAATTTTAGTTTGGTTACAATGTTGTAATTGTTGTATGACTGCGCAATTGTCATTCATTGTGAGAGCGCGCTGAAACCTGAAAAATGGCCTGGGCAGGAAGGTGTAAAATTGCACGGTATTGAATTGGTTAAAGGGCGCCTCGGGACTGTCCATCATTTTAAAGGGCGCCTCGGGACTGTCCATCATTTTAAAGGGTGCCTTGACTGAGAAAAGGTTGAGAAAACACTGCTCTATAGTGTGTACTCAATCCAGAGCACTAAGTGTAATTTCTCCTTGCTGCCTGGTTCCTTTTGCTATCTGCATGAGTCACTTCTGACACGTTTTCCTGACACGAGAGCTAAAATGGTGACAGGGAAGGGAGCTCCAGCACACAGCCCGAGACTGACAGTCTCAGCTCTGTTCCTGTGTGAACAGGGGGTGTGTCTCTTCCCTCCAATCAGCTCATCTCTTCTCAGTGAGTTCTGCAGCTTTCCACCCCCTGCTATCTGAAATCTCAGATAAGCAGTATACATTCTTCCCTTTTGAAAGGCTGTAGAAAAATGAGGGTTGTAGATAAACAGGTACAGCTTATGTAGAAGAATGTTTCATCTCTGTGTATCACCTGAGGCCAGTCACATCACTGGGGATATATAAGGGGTTACAACTACTTTAATATAGATTGAGGGAACTTTCCTTTTCAGTGGGTGATGACCTGCATTAAAGCTTAAGGGCTCATGTACACTGCAGCTGATAAACTGACGTTCAGGAGCTTTTCTGCGTTTTTTTCAGCAGCCCCTGAATTCTCCCTAATGTTTTCCTATGTGTCCATGTACACATCGTCATTTACAGGCAGTTGAGTTTACAGTCGTTTTTTTTTTAATGCACCAAACTTGCGTTCAGGAGTAGATTTTATCAGCGTTTCAAACGCCAAATGCGTGTGAACACGGCTAACCGCGTTTATAAGTGTTTTTTAACTGTTCCATATCCAGATGCTGTCCAGAGCTGTCATCAGCAGAAATGCATGCAAAGCATTTTCCATGTATTCAGATGGACCTGGTACACCAGCGCAGTCAGTTCCAGGGTTTGCGTGAAGGAAAAAATAGTAGAACGTGCCGCATTATGCTCATGATGGGATCCATAGTGAATACAACCAGAAAAGACAGGTCATCTCAACACATACTGCTCCCTCTGCTTCTGCTCTCTCTATTTCTCTCAAAATGTCTAAAAGTTAATTTTTTTATGGTTTTTAGTGCATTCTGGGCATTTTAGAAGGTCTCCTGATGTTATCTTTAAAAAAACGCTTCTAAACGCAAACGCGCATAAACAGACATTTTTTACCTACATTTTCCAGCAGTCAGTTTCCATAGTTTAGAAGTGTTTTCCAAACGCCCCGTGTACATGGAGCCTAACTCCAGGTTTCATTTAGCTTTAAATAGTTTATTTGGACCAAGCTGGTCCAAACAAACTATTTTTTCACTAACACACGTTGGTTGTGCGTGTTGTATAGACTGTACGTGGCACCAACTACATACAGTATACAATGCTGTGTACCGGCAGCAGTGCGGGGAGTCAGGCTGAGTGCTGCTCAGCTTTTCACAGGAAGGCTCTGTATGTTATGAATGTATGCAAAGCTTCCTCTGATTGACTGAGGAAGGGAGGCAGGTGGATGATGTCACAATGTCCACCTCAGCCAATCAGGGGAAGCCTTGTATAGATTCATAAAATACAAGGTTTCCTGTGATTAGGTGGCCATTCAAAGCGTACTTTCCCTTTTCTCTAGGCAGTTTAGATAAGGAGGCATACGGCTAGAGTTGAGTCTCTCCCCAATGGCGTAACTAGAACCCTTAGGGCCCTGGTGCATGTAACCATTTCTTAATTTTGTTTTTTACAATATTATTTTTTATTTTTATGTTTTACAGTTTTATTTTGAAGCCCCGTTGGAGGGCTTTGGTGAAATATCAGGGGTTTACGCAAACCTCTGTTGTTTTACTTTTCAGATAGAGAAAGGAAATTGAGGACACAGTCCTCAATCTCCATCTCTGCATCCTCAGCTGTACAGAATGAATGGACAGGAATACAGTTAGGTCCATATATGTTTGTACAAAATGAATACACCATCAGGTAAGGATCTAGATATATTGTTTGAGGACACAGATGATCCAATCGCGTTCTGTTATATGGAGGGCCTGAGATCACCAGTAAGCTACTTGTAAAAGTAGTCTTTACTGGTCTCTTAAAAGGAAAGCAAACAGTTCATTGCTCAAAAGGAAAGCAAACAGTTCATTGCTCAAAAGGAAAGCAAACAGTTCATTGTCCAGGTATAAAGAAAACCATACCACTGGTTCACCACCAGTCTCTCAGCCCCACACTGGGGTTTAAGGTTCCCACTTGTTTCGGGGTAGAAGGCAAACTGCAGGAGCTCAGCAAAGTCCCAGCCTCCAGAGAGTCCACCCTTGCTCACCACTGTGATCTGCACCACATTACCTTCCTGCTGTTTTTCAAGAAGTTGTATATGGCTTAACCCCTTCACGATCAAAATCCCTGTAATCAGGGTTTGGAGGCTCTTTCCCACCCAACGTCTCTCTGAACCTACGAATTCTGGGTCACAAATGAGGACTTACCAATTCTGAAAGCTCTGGAAATCAGTCTGTCAGGAATCCTGTCGCCGTGCAGCCGTGCGACAGATCCCCTCGGGCCATGGCGGTGCAAGTGCACATGCGCGGGAGCGTGGGGGCACACATGCGCAGTAACATACACGGCACCGCAAGGCGGGCTATTTAAACCTGCAATACAGTGTAATCAATTCCTGCTGGTCTATAACGTCCTGCACTTCATTACCTGACTCTGTA